AAGCCCGATCATCAACATGATGAAGGCAGCAACTATCGGTTGTCTGATATTTGCATAATTAAAATCAAATAAAATGCGCCAGTAGTAGTAGGTGGCTAGGCTAGCAGTGGATTTCTTATCAGATCACACTACTTTTCAATTCATAGTATAATTTTACTAATGCTAGAGACAAAGATAGAGGGAGAGAGAGAGAGAGACAGCTATATTGATTATTATCACTTGGCGATCACTTAACATTCCTATTCTAATCACAGAATAGTGAGTGAAACATTTTTTTTCTGTGTGTGTACATTAACTAGTTTTTGGAACAGTTGTTGTTGTAGTTATGTTTCTTTTTGTGGTATGTTTTTTTCTTTCGTTTCTGTTCTTTCGGTGTGTGCGTGTGTGTGTGTGTGCCTACGTGCGTGCTTGTGTGCGTGTCTTTGTTTGTTTGTTTGTAATAAAACTATTTTGAAAGATGTTATCGATAGTCTACAAAAATAATAATAATAATAATAAAATTATTAATAAGGCTAGCACAACAATAAGGCTGTATATCACGAGGATTTGTCATTTGTGTCTGCATTACTGTGAAAAGTCTGTGTGTGTGTGTGTGTGTGTGTGTGTGTGCAAAGGGCTGTTTTTTCTAATGTTACTATTAACAATATAATATAATGTAATGTAATAATAGTAATAATAATAAAAAAGTAATTCATACTTATGTTGGAGGTATTGCATAGCAAAATAGCTTCATTCATATCATCATATGCACGGTGGTCTTAAAATACACGTAACTGTAAGTATTCAGTTGATAAAGTGTCGTGTAATTTTCTCATAGAAATCAAACTTAATCATTTCAATCCACCCTCCCCCCCGTCTCGTTAAAAATGGTCTGCACACAAATGTATTCACTGGACTTATTGACTGTTCAAGTGTTTCAATGAAATATGGTTGTTGTTTTTTTCTTCTAAGGTTTGTGTGCTTACCATGTTGAAAAAAATGGAGATATTCACCAAGCAGTTGTCTTCACGTGGTGGTCAGCCTTCTTATATTGTAATTAAGCGACAAGTTAGCTGCCTTTTACTGACTAGAAACTAATGTGTACCTGAAGAGTTCTACTGTGACAGAAAGGTTGTTCGGATAATGGTCAGTCTAAAAGCAAAGTGTTCATTGTTATGTTTGTTTGGTTTAGGGTGTGACGTCATACTACTGGCGAATAGAGATGTAACAACATGTGAGGTATTTTTTTCATCTGTTGACCAGGAAGCCAAGTATGCTGCCTCTACTCTCTGTCTGTCTGTCTGTTTTTGATACAGAACTTTCCATCGATGTGCATCAGTTAACGCTGCCACACTCCACTCCTTGTAGCACACAAAACAAGAGAAGAAAGTTGAACAAATGCATAATAGAGACAGTAAACAGAGAGGTGTGAGACGAAGGAATAGTAATAATGAAGAACAATATAGATTCATTGGAAATCATAAGTCATAGGGAGTGGATGCATCTGCAACAGCTATTGAGAACGATTTTGAGCCATATCACCAATTGTTTCCAGCCGTCATTTGTTTTTACCGTCTCGAGGACCTCAACCAGTCAGGAAGTCTACACCTTCCCACATGACTAACTGGCTTAAACTAACTTTTGTGGATTTAATTGACTGGTGCCATGTTTCGGTTTGACCTCCGCTAGCTCTTTTCCTATGTCAGCTAGCATAGCCCATTGTCGAGGAAGGCGATGACTAGGCAGTCATGCGTAACACATGTCCTAACCATCTCTGTCGATGTAACTTCACAACCACATCGATTGATTTCCCCTGCTTATCTAGCACTCGACTGAGGCCTAACCTAAAGATTGATCATTCTATTATACCCTTTCACACAGGAGATAGAACGCAGGCACCTATGATCAAAGACAGCTAACTAGCCAGGCTTTTCATGTCTTCCAGTCTCAATGGCCATGTCCCACTCACAGCCATAAGGGAGGACGGAAAAGACTGCTGCTGAGCAGTACACACGCGCTTTGGTCGACAGCCAGCTGGATATCACGTCTACTAAGCCAGAGACGGCGTAAACTGGCATATTCTAAACTAGCCCTCTGTATCCGTGCTGAAACTTCATCATAGATCAACCCGTTGGTACTGGCTAATGGTACTTCCCAAATAAGTGAACCGATCAACACACTCCACCAACCACTTCACTCCCTATCTCTGAACTAGGAGTCACTGTAATCCAGTCCTGTAACATTGTCTTACATTTGGCGGGAGAGAATCGCATTCCAAACATTCGTAGGTTGCAGCTCATTGTGTTCAGAAGACTGCATTTTGTCAGCGTTCTCGCCTAGAAGGATTATATCGTCTGCATATTCTAAGTCAGCGAGATTACTCCCTGGTAGCAAGTCAATGCCTGAATCTGTGAAGTGAGTTAGGATTAAGCCCATAAGTACATCTATGATGAAATTGAATAGAAATGGGGATAGTGGGCATCCCTGACGGACACCACTAGTCGTCACCACTTCAGATGACAACTCGCCGTAAGCCCTCACCTGACTGCATGAGTTTAAGTAGAGAGCCTTGACTAGTGCAATGTATTTTCTCGACATTCCCTTTACAGCCAAGCATTGCCAGATTTCTTTTCGGCCGACCGAATCGGATGTTACCTTTATGTCAAGGTCGTCTACTCTCTGACGAGGGAGGGGACGGTCACAAAAGGTGAACGCAGAAAATTTCACTTTCCGAATTACCTAGTGGTGGTCCGTCGCCACCGGTGGTAAGATATTAATACTGATGCAACTCCAGAAACCACCCTCAAGCAATTGTTTTTTTGGTGGGGCTCTTCAGTTACGCAATACTAATACTTTTTTTCGGGGGTTACATGGTACTCCATGAAGAAACCAACTTTTTACGGTGTGCGTGTGTGTGTAGCCAGCAAGTAGTAACCGGCTACACATTTACATAAGCTGATGAAACTTTCTTGGTCATCCTTTCGCTTATCGATTTTATTTACAGACATTGTATAATTCATATTTTGGGTTTTGTAAGCTTTTCGATGTGCATCGGTGGCATAGCGCCGTTAGGTCGCTCGTCGACCATGCACATGATCCGGGGTTCGATCTCCGGTCATGGACACACTCCTTTACCTCGCTAAGCCAGAAATAATGCTGGTAAAGAGAGGAAAGGTTGGGCGTGAGGCTAGGAACCCCATCCTGTAAAATAAGCACTGCTACAGAAACTTCAAGCCACTTGCTGGAAGTCCTATGTTCCACTGGGGAACGTGAAGGAAAAAAAAGGTTTTCGATATAGGTTCTGTTACAAAAAATAATATTAGTTAAAGAATCACTAGCAGAATGCATTATCTGGCCCCATTAAAGATTAGATCTAAAACTCTTAGGTTATAAAGACAACCTTCTCAACAACAATTCCTCCAGTTGGTTTGGAATTCAAAATCTCATGAGAATGCTGACTTTTTGATTAAATCAAAATCTCTATTTAAAAAAGGATGGATAAAGACACTGATTAAAAATACACAGAATCCTATGAACATCTTGAGCTACCACCACCATCTTCAAATTTTCAACATTTGATTTCTTGCTGTCAGATGTGTAAGATGATGGATGCTACACAGGACTGGACTAGATTGACACCCTCCTGGCTTAAAGATGATAGGCACGAGTGAAATGGCTGATGGAGCGTGTTGTTTAATTCATTTATTATTTTAGAAGTTGCATCAGACCCAATCGGCTAATTGTTGACGAAATGTCAGTACGGATACAGAAGGCTCGTTTGGCGTACGCATGCCAACTTGCACCATCTCTAGCTTAGTAGACGTGATTATCCAACTGACTGTCGACTAAAGGACGTTTGTACTACATGGAGGTCCACCGTGTTCTTCCTCCCTGATGTGAGACGTAGTCACTGAAATTGGAAGATACGAAAAGACTAGTTATCTGTGATCATAGGTGGTGTTAGACTTCTATTTCCCGTGTGTATTAGGTGGTATGATAAGGTGAGCGATACTGAGGTTAAGCATCGGTGGAGTGCTAGGTAAGTAGGAGAAATCAATCGACTGAGATGGCTAAGACATGTGTTACGTATGTCTGGCCAACCATCGCCTTCATCAGCAACGGGAAATGTTAACTGACATAGGATCGATGAGGTTGGAAAAGAGCTAGCATATGGTGGTCAGACAAAAGCATCACTTCATCAGTCAATGAAATCCACAACTGTTAGTTTAAGCCAGCCACGTAGGGAAGCGTAGAGTGCTGGTTTCATAAAAATTTAACAAAACTCACTATATGATCTAACCAAGGATTGTTGGCAAAGTTCAACAATAGCATCCTAGGAGTGCGAATGCACGAGTGACCTTTAGCTGACCAATCGTAAAAATGAGGAATGTTGTTTGCTCAAAAAATGATGTATATTGATTGACAAGAAAATGCTTGAAAACGCATTAAACAGGTTATCTTTCTTTGACATGAGTCCTAGTTGTAACGAGGAGTATCAGTGGCTAAGTTCGACTAGTATTCCAGCCGAATATCACATCTCCTAAGCCAGAGACGGCGTAAACTCACATATGCGAAACTAACCCTCTGTATCCCTACTGAGATTTCGTCAGAGATCAACCTGTTGGGACTGGCTGATGGTACTTCCCAGGTAAGTGAAGTACCATCAAGACTCTCAGCTTTTACAGCACTCATCTGTCAGCTATTCATTCACTTGATTTGAAATTCAAAGTCGTGTGGATATCGAATTCTTTACCAAAATCTACCTACAGAATAATCAAAATCCTTACACAACTAGACATCCTGATTATCAATTTAGTGCTACTTGATTACTCCACATCTCAGTAGGCGAAGGGGAATTCGAACGCGCATAACCACCACCCTCCAGGCGGTGGTAGTGTTGGAGTTGGTAGTCAAGAACGCCTTAGACAGACAACTGTGATAATGATGATGCGATGATGCATGAGCTCCAGTAAACGCAACTTTTATTTTCGATTTTTTTTTTAAATTCTTCTTTACCATAGACTATACAGAAGAAGGTGGGGGTGGTGGTGGTAATGTTCTTGATGAGAATTCTTCGTTTTATGATTGGAATAGTCAAGAGGCCATCAGTCGAACTATTGTTGATGCTGACAATACTGTCAGACAGTCTGGACATAATCTAAGTGAAGCAAGCTCTCCGACAAGTGGGCATACAGTTGAAGAAGAAGAAGAAGACGAGGAGGAGGAAGGGGAGGATAATATTGATCAGCATGAAAATGACAATCGCAGTAATCATGCTTATGATGATAATTATGATGATGATTCTCAACAAATCAATGATTGGAACCAGTTCACCAGGAGAAGTAATGTCGAAGATGGTGACGGGGATGACGGTGATGTTTATCATGGTGGAGTGTTAGATTTTCGTTCTCAACAAGATAAATTTCCTACTTATATTGATGAAGACACTCGAGTAAGTCTTCTTGGAAAGATATTATTAAAACAATTAGTCCTTTTGATAAATTTGAATCAGTTATTGAGAAGACGAATTTCACCGCGAGATGATATCGTCATTTTGTAGTTTCTTTACAACTACTAACATGGTTAACAGTAATAAAATAAAGATCATTACAATTACTCAGTTAAATAAAAAACAAAAGTACATTATTATTATTATTTATTATTATATCCTTTAGTTCCTAGAGGAACATAGGGCTTCAGCTGCGCGTCTCCATTGCCTTCGGTTTTCTGCCAACTTTTTCATCCCGCTCCAAGTCTGCTCACATGCTTTCATCTCCTTTTCACATGACCTCCTCCAAGTCACCCCACCCTTGCACTGATGACCAACTCGCCGCCTCCCTTTCGGGTTCCACTTGAGCAATGGCTTGTCTAGTGATGTCACTCACTTGATGGTTTCCTCAGAGTATGGCCAGCTAATCCATTTCTACCTGCCTATTTGTTGCACAATCGGGTCCGGATGCGTTGGTTCGCTCCCAGATATCTTTGTTGCTGTTCTTCTCTAGCCATCTGATCTTGAGCGGAGTATTGCATGAAAACAGCTGTTAATGTGAAGGTCTGTAGTTTGTTTGATGTGCTCTTTATGATGCGCTGGCCAAGTCTCTGATCCGTATAGTTAGTAGCACTGACTGACTTCACATTGGAGTTGAAAATCCGGATCTTATTTTCATTTTCATGATGAGTGCTGTTGACCTCAACACAGATTTGAGAGTAGTGAAAGTTTGTGTTGCTTTCCAGGTGACCGCTGCTTTGATATCCTCATCAGTTTCGTCCACCTGTAGTTGAAACGATGCTTCCAAGGTAGGTAGGTATGTAGGTAGTGGAGCTTGCTTCTTTCAGATTCCTCCCATTTATGCTGGCTGATTGTTGTCTGTTGTTGTTGTTGCTGTTGCTGTTGGCCAGGAATCTACATCACCATATCTGTTTTCTCTATGTTCATTTGAAGTCCTTCCTACCTTCTCTGGATGCTTGTTCTGCCAACTTGTTGCTTTTCACTTGCATATCTTCCAGTTTGTGGGAAATCAAACATATATCAGTTAAATAATAAAACAAAAGTACATACTAATGACCAATCATCACATTTAGATAGGTCATGTAGTTCATGGTAGGCGAAGATTGAAGTCTATTGTTTTTTGTACACACAGTTTAGGCTGTATGTGATTAGAGTTATGTGAGATAATTTTGAAACAGTCATTAATATTGATTTTGTGACTTGACATTAATATAAGAGCTATGCAATGGATGATGCTGGAGTTATACTCAGATTACTCGCATGGGGATTTTCTATATGATTTAATAACCATTTTGTAACATGTTCTTTTCGACGATGACATTGGAACATTCTGTTGGTTCTACCTATATGGTGTGTGTCACCGCAACAACTGCAGGTGAACTTGTAGATACAGTTTAAAGTAGAGTCCACAGAATTTCGTACTTTAATCGTAGGTAGGTACAGGGATTGAAAATGTTCGGCAAGTGAGAAAAAGAGATGCGGCGTAGAATGTGCGTTTGATGGCTGATCGAAGTCTTTGAGTTGTCAACTGCATAATCTGGTCACCCTTGAATGGTAGATTAATAAAGATGGCTTTCTTTGGTACAGAAGCTGTCTTTTTGAGATATGGTTTTTCTTTACTGTGACAAGTGATAAAGTTTTCCAGATAACCATTAGCTAATAAAACTGAATGTACATGTCGAAACTCATCCATCAAAGTGTCACTCGTGCATATTTTTCGGGCCCTTGAGAACAAACATTTCATTCAATGGAGAACGTTTATACTGGATAGGAACAAAACTGGTAAAATGAAGATATTGTCCACTCCATCCAAGTCTGTTTACGAAAAATAGATCGTTGAATCGTTCCATCATCTCTCCTAGTCATAGTAATATCCAGGAAACCGAGTTTGTTATTCGATTCTAGTTCGAAATGATATCATCTCGCGAAATTTGTCTTCCCAACGCCTTATTCGAAAACATTATTGCCATTATTATTCATTTTTTTTATTTATTCATTCCTGGCACTCTGTCGTCTGTCATCGCTTTCAGCCGACTTCACGACTTATCACCCCGGGACACATACCCAGCTCGTTGCTTTCTTATTCATTACTACACGTAAAGGCCTGATATTTTTTTTGTGATTTTTGATTACAGCTTGATTCCACACTGTATTTTTTTGGTATAGGCACGGAATTTTCAGCATGTGATATCGGTAGCCCAAATTTTACAGACCGACCATAGATATCAGGTGTGCGTCGGTAGAGGCTCATCAGTCCGCTCCGTCCTCCTTTATGGTTGTGAGACCTGGCCACTGAGAGTGGAAGACATGAAAAGACTAGCTGCCTTTGATCATAGGTGCCTGCGTTCTATTTCCCGTGTGAAGTGGCATAATAAGGTGAGCAACATGGAGGTTAGGCGTAGAGTTCTAGGTAAACAGGGGAAATCAATCGACGAAGTCGTGAAGCTACATCGACTGAGATGGTTAGGACATGTGTTACGTATGCCAAGTCATCGCCTCCCTCGACGAGCTATGTTAGCGGATATAGGGTCAGGCTGGAAAAAAGCTAGCGGCGGTCAAACAAAAACTTGGCATCAGTCAATGAAATCCACAACAGTTGGTCTTAGCCACGTAGGAAGGTGTAGACTTCCAGGCTGGGGTCCTCGGGACGGCAAAAATCTATGGTTGGAAACAATTGGTGACATGGCTCAAAATCGTTCTCAGTGGCGCAGATGCATCCACTCCTTGTGACTTATGATCTTCAATGAAATTGTTTTGTATTTCTTTATTACCCCTTTGTCTCACACCTCTGCTCACTGTTTCTATTATGCTTTTCTTGTACTTTCTTCTCTTGCTTCGCGTGCTACACGGAATGTGGCGACTTGAACTTCCGCACATTTGTGCAAAGTTCTATGTCGAAAACAGACAGACAGACAGACAGACAGAGGCTCGAACGCCGGACCATGTGCATAGTCGGCGAGAGTCCTAACCACTGATCCACCTACGCACTTGTTACCTGTGAAGGTCTCCTCCTCTCAGCATATCCACATTTCTATTTCATTCTGCATATTTATTGGGTGACCTCTACCACACTTTGTTTTTGTTACTTATCCTCCCCCTCCTCATCTGGTCATTCATTGTTAGGCGAAGGCAGTGGTTATTGTTGATGAGATTCTGTTTGTTTTTCCTTCACGTTACCCAGTGGAACATAGGGCCCCTTCAAGCTATTGGCTTGAAGTTTCTGTAGCAGTGCTTATTTTACAGGATGAGGTTCCTAGCCTCATGCCCAACCTTTCCTCTCTTTACCAGCATTATTTCTGGCTTAGTAAGGTAAAGGAAGGCGTCGATGGCCGGCGATCGAACCTCGGACCATGTGTGCATGGTCGACGAGCGTCCTAACCGAGCTATGCCACCGAAGCACAGTGGGATTCTGTAGCTTGCTAGCTAGAAATGCTTTCTTTCTTTTATGATACATCAAATACTGTTTTAAAAATTTGCATCCTGTTCGTTGTGCTAAGTATTTTGGATCTGTTTTTACATCGAGTTCAGAGCATCTTAAATGACTAACTCACTGACGACTGTGTTCAACATCATAGAACTTTGCACCGATGTGCAACAATTCGAGTTGTCACAATCCACTTCATGTAGCACACAAAGCAACAGAAGAGAGAGAGATAACAAATGGAAGTGTGAATGGCGGAAAAAGAATAGTAATAGGGAATAACAGTAGAGTTTTATAGCATATCACGAATGACAATGTATCGTGAATGTATCTGAACCAGCTATATCAATGAGAACGATTTTCAGCCATATCACCACCAAATGTCTCCAGTATCCATCGGTTTTTACCATCCCGAGGACGCCAACCAGCCAGTCAGCAAGTCTACACCTCCCTACGTGACTGGGTAGCTGGCTGGCTGGCTAGCTGGCTTAAACTCTAACTGTTATGGATTTCATTGACTGATGAGACCATGTTTTCGTTTCACCACCAGAAGCTCTTTTCTAACCTGATCCATCTTATGTCAGCTAACATTGCTCGTGGAGGATGGTGATGGCTGGCTAGGCATGCTTAACACATGTCCTAATCATCTCAGCCGGTGTAACTTCAAAACCCGATCGATTGACTTTCCCTCCTTACCTAGCACTCAACCGACTCCTAACCTCAATATCGCTCACCTAATCATACCACCTAATACACACAGGAGATAGAAGGCAGCTTACCATTTCCCATTCTTACTTACTTACTTTACTTCGGCTATCTCCTATGGGAGGATGAGCCGGCTTCATGAACAAGAGTTCATGAAGTTTCATGGGAATTAGGTACGAGTGATGTCCCCAGCATCGCTCGGCCTTTTGTTTGAGAGTGCAGCTCTAGCCTTTACACAGCCAAGTGTGACCTACAAGGCAGTAGGAGTGGAGTAGGGAGTCCACTATCCATTGGAAGCCGGTGACCGGAGTCCGGTTCATACGCCTTTTTGAATGGGGCCAGACATCCAGGGCATCCAATAAGCCCTTTGTCCATACGTCTGCCGGTGAGCTGCAGTGAGCTTCATACGCCAGTCGTTGGAGGTTTGGAATCAGGGTTTAGCCATCTCCCCTAGACTGTCATCCAATGGACAGTCAACCCGGTGAAGAGCGCCGGGCATCCGCTTTTGTCCTCTCACTTCGGTGAAAAACACCTTTGCCACGTGAAGGCAGTGAGTAGGACTTCCTCAGGAGAGGCTATGTAAGACGCCCGGTCATATGGGAGCATTTCAAGAGGTGTACGGAGGGGTGGCCAACCCGCAGCGCAAGGCACCCACCCCCGACCATCCATTCGTGGTCCACTCTACTGTTGGTGGTCATCTTAACCATTTTAACGATGGTTCTTAACTCCATTACGGATAAGATTTTATTTTGATAAATCACACGGTGTTGTACAGTTATATATGTAAATTTTTTCGTTTTTATTTTTCATCGTTACA